AGATATATTATCAGAAAAGAAGAGGCAGAGGATGTTCCACCAATCCTTGACAGTGAAATTGAGCACACAATGAAAAGTATGAAGAACAACAAAGCACCAGGGGAAGATCAGGTTGTGATTGAAATGCTAAAAGCGGGAGGAGAAGTGGTCAGATCGAAGCTGAGGACGCTCTTCAATAGAGTGATGACTGAAGAAATAGTGCCAAATGGGTGGAAAAATGCCATCATCACACTCATATTTAAGAAGGGAGACAAGAAAACCTCGCAAACTACAGACCAATCAGCTTACTCTCTCAAGTCTACAAACTCTTCATGAAGATCTTGAAAATAGATAAACAACACCCTTTAGTGACCACTCAACCCCAGAAAAGCTAAGCCTACAGAAGAGGTTCATTCCACCATCGACCATCTGCAGTCAGTTGTGCAAATACTGAGAAAAACCAATGAGTATAAAATACCTATCCACATGGCATTTGTAGACTATGAAAGCCTTTGACTCCATCCAGCATAAGGCTGTCTTTGAGGCGCTCAAAACAGTACAGCGTGCCAGGAAAAAGTACATCAACATCTTAAAAGAACATATAATGAAGCACAGCTAAGATTCGAACTGAATCAACTACGAAAATCAAGATCATGAAGGGAGTGAGGCAAGGAGACACCTGTCGACAGTGATGTTTACAGCAGCGCTAGCTAGGAAATATTCAGTAGAATGGAAGGAAGGGAATTAACATCAATGGAGAGAGGATGAACAACCTGAGATTTGCAGATGATATCATCTTATTTGCTGAAAAGGAAGAACACCTCAGCAAACTTTTGAACGATCTGAACGAAGAAGGGAGGAAAGATGGAATGAAAATGAACAAAAGAAGACAAAGATCATGTACAATGAAATAGCAAAGAAAAGGAGAAGAAAAAGGAATATCGATTGATGGAGAACGGCTGGAAGAGGTTGAAGAGTACAAGTATTTGGGAAGAACACAACACCAGGAAATGAGATGGCGAGAGAAATAGATGAGAGAATAACATCAGCTTGGAAGAGATTTGGACAGCACAGCATGTTCATGAGAGATCAAAGAATGCCCATGTGTCTCCAAAAGGAAGATCATGGACACTGTCATAATACCAGCAATGACTTATGGAGAGAGACGTGCACTTACCAACCATCAAAGAGAGAAACTGGCAATCACCCAGCAAGTATGGAAAGATCAATGCTCGGTGTCATGAGGAGAGATAAGATCCGGAATGAAGACCTGAGAGCAAGAACAAAAGTGAAGGATGTCAATGAGAAAGCATAAAGCCAAAGGAAAGTGGGTGACATCTAGCCTGAATGAAAAATCATGAATGGGCAAAGAAAACAACTGAATGGACCCCGTGGGACAAGAAAAGAGGCAAGGGAAGACCAAAAAGGAGATGGAGAGATGACATCGAGCAGAGAGCGGGCAGCATGTGGACCCAGAGAGCCCAAGACCGTAAAGAGTGGAGAAAGATGTGGAGGCCATCCGCCAGCAATGGCGTGACAGGCTGATGATGATGATGATGATGTCGTTTTCAAATGCATTGAATTTATACAATAGGTTTGGCCTTCAATCTAATATTTTGTCAGTGTCAAGTTGACAACAAATCTAAAGTTACAGCTATCTAAATAACTCTTCAATGATTAATACTTGGTTATTAAGTATGAATGATTTCAACAAAAAACCGCCATAAACTACTTTAAATGTAATATATATGTTAATTTGGATATGTACGATAAACACATATCATAAAATTCCAAAGCTCTAGTGACATACTTTAATGTTGACAGCAGAGAACTTCGACTCCAAGAGAGCACTCAAGTGAACGCAAAAACATTTTTATACGCAACCTGATCTGCAACGAAAAAGTCGCGGATACGAAAATATCCGTATACGTGTCGACGGGGAATAATATACACGGGTGAAAAGAGTAAGATGTGAAAATGATACGCCTATTAGTTATACAAAAATTATATACGTGTAGATGACAAAAATACGTATGGACGCGTGAGATAGGCGTCTATGAATACATAGAAACAGAGACTTGTGAATTCAGCGTCCACTTCGTTCAAACACAATCAACACTTTATCATTCAAACTTTCGTGAGATTGTACTTTGAGATCATATTAAAGCACCACATATATTGCTCTTTTGAACCAGTATAATACGATCGGGGTGTTCCGATTGTGGTTGTGTTTAGGGGTTCTACATTCTTGAATTGCAACCAACCTCCAGCGACTTATCACACAATGTGGCTCACCCAAAACGGCTAGTGCCCACAATAGCACTAGTAAAATTCTTTTAAACGTGTAACTGTGTAAGCATTAGTAATGTGAAAACTTATCTCATGCCCAAGAAGACGAAAACAGTCACATTACAAACTCATAAAGCGGCAGTCGTTTTGTGTCTGATTTGATTACATCAGTTTCATTTAGATAAACATGCTAGAAACTCATATTTCATCAACATCATTGATTGAAACAATATTTTCTATTATTTCATGAAATGATTGCAGTTTTCTTGACTTCTAGCTATAACAATTTTTGCACATTTTCTCGTAGCAAACAACGAGTGTAAATGTTTAAAACATATTACATGACGTATTGGCATTGATATTGATTATTGTCATGAAATCATAAATATTTATAAAAATTCTTCATGGTTTGATTTTCATTTCACTGGTTTTCACGTTATTAAAACCAAGCCAATACATATTTTTACCATTTAGGTTGCTATAATAACAATTTTTATACCACCAAGCACCTTGCCAGTAAGCAGCGCAGTTTCCTTCATCATCGCAATCTTTTGTTGAAAACGCCGTGTCTTTATGATAGCTCAATGCATCCTAACATTTCCTGAAAAGTAGTAACGGCTCATGAGCTCTGTCGTGATCTGTATTTTAAAGTACACATGAACACATTTTGGTCTAATTATTCTGATAGATCTTAAAAAGGTTATTTAGAAAATTCTAAATTTCATTTTGGCTATTTAAATTTCGGTGTTTCGATGGCCTGATTTAAACACATGACTCGACCGAAAAGAGAACTCATTGAATTTATGTTATGTATTAAATTTCTTACTCCAGGCTTACAATTTTACATGCTTTACAAGGAAAAATCTTTTCATCTCACGGAAATTTACAAATATAACGTTCCTTTTTGTGCTGTCATGCTTGCACCATTCCCTTCCTTGGTATATAAAGACAAAACAAAAGAAATTGTACGTAAAAGGGCTTAAATACGAGCTGTACTTGTAGATAATATTCAGACAATCGTTCATCTTTCGCAGGAAATTAAATTTTTCTTTTAAAAATAATCTTGACAATGTATGGTGAATTTTTTAGCTGTAAAGGTGGTATCTTTGTTGTGATTGACATTCTTTACGATTACTAGCAACGGAAACTTAAATATTTCTTACCCCTTTGCAGGTGCCAAGGTCTTTATGCAAAAGCAAACTTTGATTTAAATAATTTAAAAGCCTAAAGCAGTGTTTCAACAAGACAAAAATACTTTTTTAATAATGTATCACTGTTTGTTAAGCTCTATTATGAGTTTAAAAGTAAAGAAATACACAAAAATGCATTTTTCCAGTGTATGATCCAGTGTAATGATATGATCCAGTGTAATGAAACTTTATAAGATTATTCAACAATGCAATGACATTAATGAAGAATGATCTTATGAGTAACAAAACATTTATAAGATCATATTCAATTACAACTACATGAAAATCATGTTAAAACCACGAGAAGTTAAACTTGAATCCTAACTTCATTAGTATTTTCTCTGATAGCATAATTTTTAATTTTGTAAATATGCATTAAAGATGACCTTTAAGCGAAAATCTAAAAGGTAAGAATTCTAAAATTTGTCACTTGATTCAAATTTGTACTATCACTACTATGGTGTGGCATATGGGTGAAACATGTTTTACTGTTGGTTGACAATATTGGTGATTAATAAAGCAGGGACGGTTTTCATATTAGAATTTATAATTTTTATTGCCTGTTATGTTATATTTTTTAGATGTTGATCGTTCAGCTTTGTGTAGTCCTGAAAAGAATTCTTGGTGTTGGTGTGTTACTTGACTCTGATGATCAAAGGATGTCAAAATGTCAATCATTAACAACACCAACAGTCATTTTCAGGACTGCTCTAACCTTGAAAATCTACATCTACAAGCATTTAGCTTTACTCATGTTTTATTTTTCACCATCATCTCTTGTAGGAAAGGGAGAAAAAATGTTAATTATACTGATATGAGCTTCAATTGTGAAAGTGATGGTAATGTATTGTACATACAGTGATATCATAGCTACGTAGCTATTAATGAAAACTATAATTGCTCTGTTTTACAGTAAAGTATGTGGTTATACACTCTGGTTTACATAGGTAGGAGAAGGGTACATTTTATATTGGATCAGTTTACATGTACCTACATAGACACTGTTCAAAAAAATACTGATGCAACAAGTGTGAATGTAGGCCCCACAATTATTTACTGACTGCATGATTGATCTGGTGCACTATTAAACATTTTACATTATTTTATTGTGAAAAAGTTGAGATTATGAATTTGGTAGATATGCAATAAATATCCATACTTTACTTCCTTTTCAATGTCATGCCTGCATGTTCTATAGATTTCTCTTGTTTTAAATTGCTAAGTTTTTGTATTTATGACTTCATGATATGTTTCAGATGATTTTGAAGTTGATTTTGAACCACAAACAAAGAAGGCGAAGCATAAAGAGAAGGAAATGAACAAAGAAAAGAAAGGTGAGAGAAGGTGTGACCCAAAAATAGATTTTCAATTTTGGCTAAAGGGCATCATGCTGTTTTACACAGATATTATAGTAGATCTCTAATCCTTTATAAGCCTTTGTTTTGCCTTGTGTAATCCAATGTACACACTAATTTCTTCAATGTGTGATACAACAACGTCATGAGTTTTTTTTCTATTGTAAGGCCTTCCGTTCGTGAAAAGTTGTACCAAAGAGATATAGAAAAAGCAATTGAAATGTCACTAATGAATACACCTTATGACAGAAAGGATAATGATGTTGGACAAAATGAAAGCAGTCATATCAAAATAAATGGTGAAGGTATCGGTATGTAAAATTATAAATGAAACTGTGAAAAGTGATTACATCATGAAGAGGAAAAAGTTTGGGAAGCTGCCCTAATCTACGCAGTAATGAAGTAAATCCAATTCAAACAATGATTTTAGAATTTTTAAAGTTTTTCATTGTTAAGCATTATATAATACTGTCTTACATTGACCTCAAATTTACATTTTTAGTAAGACTCTTTTTCCCCATCACAAAGCCCTTAATTTTAAACTCATAATGCTTACAGAGTAATCAGTCAAAAGCACAAGTTTTGAAAATGACAACTTTGTTATACTGTCCTAAATGAGGACAGAGAAGGATTTTCTCAGAGTTTGATAAACTAGTCACCACTCTTAGTGGTCTGAATTTAACTGTTGAATTTAGGCACATAGTAGCATATATCCCTCAATCACAGTTATAACTGGGTAGCCTTAAAATTAGGAATGGTTAAAGGTGCGGACATATGAAGGTGTGTATGGATGAAGGTGTGTATGTGTATTTATAAAGTTAAGGATGTATCAAGTTGTGGATGCATGAAGGAAGGTTTGAACGTATGATGGTGGGGATATATGAAGGTAGGGTGGGGATACATAAAGGTGGAGTGGGGATTTATGAAGGTGGTGATGTATTGATGAAGATAGTGATGTACATATGAAGATAGTGATGTACCTATGAAGATAGTGAGTGATGTGTTGCATGTAGTACTACTTTTAATGGTGTGATGAACTTTCTAATTGACTTTTTGCATGGTGTTGTAGTGTGTGATTAAAAATGAAAATACATGATCATTATTATGTAAGATGCAGTACCATGTACATATAATGCTGATTGCTCTCTTACTCATTTAATCTAATTAAGATGATGATGCACGCGACACCTGCGATGCACGTGACACCTGCGATAAGAGTAGTGCTAAAGTGAACAAGATTCATGACAATGATGTCGAAAGTGATTCCAATGAAAAGAAAATTGTGAACCTAAAGAACGGCAAGAAAATGTCTGGTGGGAGTCATATGTTTTCCGGTAGGCTTTATTTTTGTATTTATAAAAATTGTCATTGATTTGAAGTGTCCTATTTGCATATAATGAAATAACCAAAATGCATGTGGCATGATTATACAATCAAAATATCAAAACAGTTTAATACATACGTAATTGCATTTGCTCGCAGCTTGTCTTTCGTGTTATTCTTATTAGTTTTTCTTCTGACGAGTGCTTATAATAACAAATTTTTGATACACATTTGTTTTAAAAAGAGTCATCCGACTACAAATGCACCCCTGTTGTTGGTACAAAGGAGAAAAAGTCATCACCTATAAATTCTTCTAAAGAGAGCGTTAAGCATATGAAAAATGAGGGGACAATCTCAACATTTTCTTCACCTAAACTGTTTACAAACAAAACCAGCGGTTCTTTTTGTCTTGGCGGTGTTAAAATTAAGAATCCAGGTCCGCCATTACGTGTAGGACTATCAAGAAACCATAAGGTAAAACCACTTCACAATAACGTTACGCTTTCTCAATAACAACTTACTTACACCAAAATATTTTATCTCTGTTTTAATAAAATATGTGAAATGAGTTGTAGGTGATTTGTAAATATTTCAATGTATAATAAACATTGTAATTATACAGTAAAAAAACACTCAAAACATGTCGTTACGGCCAATTGTTGGAGAGTGTAAAGTCAATCTATGAAAACCACCAACTAAATAGTATTTGGTAAGCCCTCCTCCAGCCATGCTATATACCTATGAAGGGATTTTAGGCTGTCACGTGATAATTTCCCCAAGCAATGTGGGTACTCTCCCACTGATCATTCTTGGGATTTTAGTTTTGGGCCATAGTTTCCACAGTTCTTACTCTCTACATAGTCACTGACATTTCTTTAGCTGTTACCCACTTCACAAGCTAGTTCGCTTTTGGAGTAGCATTGATCTTTTGACCTTACCAATACCATTCCACGACATTCAACATTGATTCTTGGCTTTGGACGTATAATTCAGTAATTTGTTTAGATTCTTCTTATCCATTAAATAATTTTTCTTTCACTAAGTGCTGTTGGAATGAAGTTCGACTATATATGTCTTAAAGTGAATGGTTTGAACCTGGAACTCTGAAGATGACTACCGCTAAGGTTGTCGAAACGTCAGTCAACATCAACACGAACAGTCCTTCTTAGGACTTTATTGTCATGGTGATCTACATCTACAAACATATATATATACGTCAAATGTCATTTGTGACTATTGTAGGACATCTAACCGTGGTTAAATATGATTAACAACAGAATGTAAATTTGTATTATAGGCTATAACGTCTTCCCAAATAAAATAAGAAAATTGAGCAGTTCTTTTTGACAGTTGAATGGTGAAATTATACGGTCTATTGCAAATTTTAAGGGAGAGAAAGTCGTTTGAAACTTAGTTTTTGGCTTGCGCTTGTAGCCAACCATTGTATCATTTGCATATTTAAATTGTTGGTTCTCTCTTGCACATTAAGTATATAACTTTCACGCAAATGCCCTCAAGAGCGTTAACTGTACCTCATAAAAATGTTTCTACCTTTTTCAAATTTATTTCTGATTCATTTTTGTATACAATACGTAATAGAATTATATGTCTTTCAATACTGGCTCCTTAAACTTATCCATACTAAATTCCATCACTATTGTCTATAAAATGATTTAAAAGTGGCAGGTTTGCATGTCTATCCTACGATTTAAAACTTTTGCCATTAACCTTAAATGATGCCCAAGTATTGACATGCAAAAACTGGTATTTGCGATGGATTTCAATTGTTTCGGTTGCCTGTTTTGACCAAAACTCCCCAGTGATCTCAAATATATATGCATGTTCTACTTTGGTTGCTCCTAACAGTCGATTCATTTCAATTGAATTCATGATCCACGTTTAGATATACTAAAAGCATAGAAACCTACATTGTCTTGTATTTTTAAGCTTTTGTAAGTTACGAGAAAAATATGCATGTGTATATGTTTTCAAAGTTCCTTTGTCGACGCATCCTTGTAAAAATCTCACTTTTGAAATATGTTTTTCCATATCTGTACATTATCATACATTAGGGCATTGTCAATCGCTTAAAAAAGGTTTAGGGAAAAAGAAGCAACAGTCTCGACCTCAATGCCAAAATATGTCAAAATGTCATACGAAGTTTGCGTTCTGTACAGTTCTTGCTCGCTGGGTTAGATTGTGCATCTTCTAAATGTGTTTTCTCGCGATATGACTCTAGCCAGTCACGTGCTACATTCATTGATGAATTCATTGGTCCCTGTCAACCCAAGTATGCGACTTTACCTTCTTCGATGGCGTAGAGTCTCTCAGGCAACGCTCCATAGGCCACATTTGCATTGTCGTCCATTGTATCTACCGTTATTTGACATGGAAGATTGATTTATTCATTAAGTGTACTTAAAAGTTCTTAATTTGCATTTTTGTTCTTTAAAAAGCGTAAAATCACGGTAAAATATTTCCTGTTCTCTGTTTTCATGGGACATTTCAAATGCCAGGAATAACTGAATACACATGATTAACGGACCAACAACCAGAAATTTTCTCTCACAAAAAATTGCCATGCCTGATCCTTGAAAGAAAAGTAAAATGTATGCGAGACATGTTTTGAAAATTTCGTGCAAAGAAATCATGACATAGCAAAATAACATGTAATGAACTTTAATATTCAATGCGAATGACGTAGATACGTTAAGTGTTAATCACGATCGTAAAATGACCAATATTGTCTTTGATAGTTTCATCCTTGCCAGCAAATGTTTGTAACGATGGAAAACATCAAGGAAGAAAATTCAGAACATTCTTTACTTTATATAGGCATAGACGTTTTAAATCATTTTTATATTTAATGAATGCAATCGAACTTACCGTAAAAGGACACCCTTGAGACCAAGACTTGGTGTTCTGTTGTCGGAGGTGTCCGCTTATGAGATGTTTGTTAATTTTTGCATAATTATAAAATTTTTTTTAAATATGACTGTTTTTACAATGTTTTGAAATATGATTATATGCTTGATAACGACTGAAAAGTCCAACATCTGTACAGTGAAACGTTTGAGTCCATAGACGTTATCATATAACAAATTCATCATGTATATTGTCATTGTACAGACACAATGCTTAAAGCTCACATGACATGAAAAAATTTTCTTTGAGGAGCATAAATGCGCAAACCTGGAGAAAAAACTATAGTGGTTCATGAAGAAAAATGAAGAAGACGAAAGAATTTACATGCATTATAAAACAACATCTATTTATATACCGTAATATGTCCATTTGTCGGGATAATTACTAATTCGACTGAAAATAGATCAAGTGCAACCGCTTACAACAGTTTACAATGTTGTTTGTGAATGTTGTTTTGGTATTCACCTCCGCTAACGAAAGGTCGTAAATGTGTCTTCACATATAAGAGGTCTTGGCTTTTGAGAAGTGTCTAAGTTTCTTGACTGTATACGATTTTTTTCATACTGTATCAACCCTAAATATGGTTTTCAATTATTATTTGGTATATTTATGAATATATAAAAAATTTTTATTCAAGTTGTGTGTTTCTTAGTCAAATGATTTTCGACAGATGAGAGTAGAATTATTACATTAAAGATCAGCCGGTATAAAGACGGTGGAGGTAGTAGGAGAATAGAAGTAAAACATTAGTGATCGAACAGTATAAAGCTAGGACCATAGAGGTAGGAGAATACAAGTAAAACATTAATGATCGAACAGTATAAAGCTAGGACCATGGACGTTAGGCTCATCTTTGCTCTCATTTCCCTCTGTTTTACGATTATCGTAAATTTTTTAAACTAATAGTTCATTTTCATTCAGTTAAATTCACTTTATCTCCTCGATAAAAAGCAACTTTTAAATTTATGTATAGTGATTATGAATATGTTAATTAAGGATTGTGCTTGACTCTCAATTAGAATAATATCAATAGGTAAATTGAAGACTTGTTAATAGTATTTTGTCTTTTTAAAATTAAATCCATATGTACGCCAAACGTACCTTTTTTCTTAATCTGCCCGTACTCGCACGGTCAGCGGCTAATCACTACGTGAAATGTTGTTGTATCTAACATCTTTTAGTAACATCGGGCATCGCATAATAAGGCCTGTTTCAAGCGTTGAATTTTGCATTTTCTCGAATACAATTGCCTGGAACACGATAAAGGAAAGGCGTCGATAACAGTTTGTGTAAAATGGTCACTTGGTCAATTCCTGCGTTTATTGCCAGAAATATTGTACTTTGTTGACATCTAGCTTTTTCAACTTGAGTAGTGTATCATGCTCTTAAAACAGAACATTCAGACAATTTTACAGGTTCATTTATCTGCATCGATTTAACATGAACTATTTGCTAATCAGTTCAGTAAATTCCAATCAAAAAATTGTGAATACGAGGAAACTGATTTTTCATACGAAATTGGTCGTACAGCTGTCGTAAAAATGCAATGGATAAAAGTCATATTAGAAAGCACAGTTTAAATAAAGATTGCCTTTAAAGTACTTGCACTGACTTTTCCTTTGCATGCATATTTAATCAGTTTGTATCAGTTTCCTTTTCATTCGATGAAATAACAGCAACACAGACCTCTCAATAACGTCCATAGATTGCTTTGTGATGTTTTTTCTGACGATGTAATTGTTTAGTTCAATAGTCCGTTAAGGATTAATTAATTTCCAGGCAACCAATGCAGTTTTCTTTTGTCACACCCTCCAAAATAAGACACTGTGTCACACTCAGTTAATGGATGGAATAATAGCTGGCTTAAAGATCTGTTAAAACTAGGAAAGCTTGCTATGTTGTACACTGGGACATTTTTAAATTTTCTTTTCCGAGCCATAAATTATTCAAAGTTTTTCAAAATCGATAACATTCTCCAGTGAATCTATATTGAATGCAAGATAAGATATTCCGTAGAATATCAACTTTATTTGTTGTCTCAAGCTGTTTCGGGAAGTAGAAAAGAAAGTCGGGGGTAATTTATTCTTTAAATGTTCATAAAGGTATTGGCGGAAGCATTTTTTCGATAGCAGAACCATAAACCACCTTGTGACATGCAGTACAAAGTATATAATTAAATCCATCTGTTTTTACATGACGTGTCATGCTCTATGATATTGTCGTGTTGAACAAGCACTTTGATTAGTCTGTTTGTTGGAATGTTCATTGCTGCAAGATAAAGATAGCTGCATAGGTTGGTTTTTGTAGTAAATCACTCTTTGAAGTATCTCTTACTTTGCTGGCAAATTATGAACGCGAAACCAAAAAAACAGTCAATCTTTAACAAAGGAGTTTTGGCCTTATTTTTCAAATAGATTTCCTAGTGTGTTTGTTGTTCAGTTATTTTTCTGCATCAGATCTGTGATTGCATGGTTTGAAGAGAAGTGAATAGATTGAGTGACATTTAAATGTCCACAAAAAAGGACATTAGCAACGAATTCTTTGTAACAAATAGTTTACATTGCTACATGACAACATATTTTATTAAAATGACCTCTGTCAACTAGTGAAAGTTTAACTCTGTAATATATCAAAAACTATTCGGTTGAACAATAGCAAAATTATAATGAAATTTCTTACTTTGCAGAGATCCATACATTGTAAATATAGTCAATTGGAAATTTACAAAA